AATTCGTCTCACAGGCGTTTTATACATATTACCCCAATAATGCATTTACAGATCTGGCTGAAACAAAAAGGCTGGAAATTTTCAGAAGACGAAAAAAAATTAGATATTTTGCTTTGAAATTGTCCCAACATCCCGTGCTACACTGAAACATTCATTCCACTGCACGCTGTCCACTTGGTCATGATAAAATTACAGTTTTAACAAAATGAAATTTTGAAAAAGTTTGCCCATAGTTGAAATAGATTATATGTTTTAAGACTGTTTTGGCGGGTAAAATGGCGAGGACATGGACTTCATCGAGGAGTGCTGTAGACCTTCTGCCCTTTCCTCGGAGCTCTCATCGGATTACTACACGACAAAACACAGGTATCAAAGGTATTTGGTGAGTATTACGTGCAGTAGCAAACATCATTTCAACCGTCGCGGTGTGCAGAAGAATTAGGCCAATTACGACCTAACCCTGGGCTAAAAGGACATTTTGACACCCTTGAATTGGTTCTCGGCGACTCTCAACACGGCTTGTCTGTCTTGGTTGATACCCCACAGGAGAGTCTTGCTTAGAATCTGAGAAACGCTGGCACGTTTTCACGCTCGTGCCATGGGCAAGAAAGGAGAGACAAGTACACGAGGAAATGTGCGTGCAAGGCGCGATGTTGAGAATATTCCCCACGTCAGTGTTTTGATATTAAATTCTCTTAAGTTTACAAAAGGGGCAATGGTCACGTTTCTTGGAGTCTCTCTGAGTCTCTTTGTTAGTGATAAGACGTACCGATCTCCCATTTATTAGATGTTATGACAGCTGGCCTTATTGATTATCATTTTGGGCAAATTGCATGTATGCGAATGTAGTGGTAAAGGCTTCACTGTCATAGAAATACATGTATAACGAAAATCAGTTTAAAAAAACATGGCTTTCGATCCATGTAGAGTCTTCCTCGAAGGCAATTTTAGAATCATCTCATCCAATACGTCAGGTGTGCATTAAAAGACAGAGAAATGTGCAAGTTGTTAGTCACAAGTCGACTGCCAAAACAACTGATGTACCTCTTGATTCAGTTTCAACTGAAGAATGATTTATAATTTGTAATTATTTAGCCTTTACTTCTAATACGTTAGCTACACTGAAACCATTAATCTATCTGTCAAATGTAACGAACATTTCATGACAAAGATGCGTTTCTTTGGTTCAGTTGTCAACCCCTCTTTCATTGAACTTACATCAATGAAAGTCTTCATTCATACAAAAGGCCAGATTCAGAACTTTTTTGTTGGGGGGGGAATGTGCACTTTTTTGTAACCTTTTATGGCCTTTATGGGGTTAAGGTAACATTTTCGACGTTTTTCCCCAGCTTTTTGAGACAACGGAAATGAGACTGACCAAAAATCACCCTTCTTTCATTATTTTGAAAAAAAATAGCTTTTTTCGGGGGGGGGTGTCGTGGCCCAGTTCCCTTCTCTGGATTCGCCTTGGGCACAAATAAACGTATATCGAATGAGCCATAGAATGACGGTATCAATATCGAAATGGTGAAACGCATGTGCAAGTTCCACTGCCATGAGTATGTTGTGAAACTGACGGGCTGTGATACCTTTGTACAGCGTACACTAGTAACGGGCGGCAGTTGACATAATAAGAAATAGATACGGCACGTGGTCTAAGTAAGGACGAAAGTGCTATATTTACAGGAAGTATTTCTGGTATTGTAATGAATCCTACCACGGATATTTGTCGTCAATTTGAGACTGTTGCTGTCGTGTAGGCGATGTTTTCTTAGAAGTGAATGCTACATACACCTTATTTATTGTAGGTCGGGCTGGCAAGTGAATAATTGGTCTGACACCGTCGATCAGATTGACAAGTTATTTACTTAACTTGCTAGAATGAACCCTGTATGGCCTACATCACTGTATTAGATCACAAAGAATAACAAGCAACTCCGTCTTTCAGCGCTGTACAAAACTGAGAGCCCCTCAAAAAACCCAAAACAAACAAATAAACACCCAACAAGCAAACAAACAACAACAACAACAACAACAACCCAAAATTTTCATCGTTTGACAAGCTTAATACTTAGTATTCCTCAACTTCTGAAATGTGTTATGGGCCTCATCTGGAGTAATTTCTGCATGAACTAAAGTGTTGTTTTGCCACGGCAATTAATGATAAATGAAAACCGACGCTACCTATGGTAACTGAAGTCCAGGAGCAACATGAGTCAGCGGTCGAGATTGGTATGGGTGACGGGTTCACGCGGCTTAAATATCCCGTTCAATACTGCTACCAACCCGCCAGCTATGACCGCTTGCCGAACTCTGATTACCCCTCATCTCATTCTTGCTCCTTTCTGAAGGGCGAATACTGAGCTAAGTCTGCTCTATTACGAAACATTACAACAGCCTCCAATGGTATTTTCAGTAAATAAATACAACTGTTTCTCCATTGTCACAGTCAAGGGAGAAATCAGTCACGATGACATTCTGTATCAAGGCAAAAGAGTACCGTGCATGGGCAAATAAATCAAGAAATGTACGAAAAAGTCACAAAACAAAGCTTAGAATGATACAATTATTTGTTCAAATTAAGTTGACACATTAAGCGAGGATCTGATGAAGCGCCATCGTTTTCCTGTTCATATTCCTGACACTGTCTGAACACGCTTAAACAATTACGCGTGCAAAACAGCAACTATTCCCAGAAGAGTTGCTAATGCTGTTTGGTTGCTAGGCAGCGGCATGTGGTAGGTAATCCTATGATGCAAAATGCATCACGTGACATGCAGTGAAGGGGCCTCTGTGAGATACTTTTTGGCAAAGCGAATTCGCACATTGTAATACTCCTCAATCTGAATAATTTATTTTAATTTCGATAAAAGTGGCTCCGTGAGCAACGTTTTCATATAAACTAAACACACACTGAATGTCGGGTAGGGAGCAACCACCGAAAATGGACAATCAATCATAAAAACAGCTCCACCTTTCATTCACAAGCAATGCAGCATTCGTTCCAATAAAAATCAGCTTTTCAGTCAAATAAAATGACCACACATACCGCTTTTTTTAAAGTAAATACAGGGGTGTGAATGGCCCCTTAAATTTGGAGCTGAAACCCCCTAAAGCAAACTGAGATGCTGAGATGTAAAAAGTTCCCATACTTTTGTACAGAGCAGGTGTACAAAAAAGCTGAAATTCAGGGTCAACATCAACACCAAAAAAGCTGACTTCTCACACCCCTGTAAGTAGATATGAATCCATTCAGGCTAAATTGACGAGCAGTGTAAGACCAAGTTACGCAAATAAAACCCACCAAATTAAAGAAGTGATGGAGACTGCGCCAACTTCAGATTGTAAATAACGGCGCGAAGGTAGGCTGCATGTACAGATTGCTATATAGACTTGCAGAGTAGCTCTCAATGAAAGGTTCCACATTACAGGCAGCTAATTAATGACCCATTACAAAGTAAATTTCGAATCACTCAGAGTAAATCAACCAACTTATAACCCTCTACCGGCTAGAAGTACCGTAGTTCAAGATATTTGATATGCATATACATGAGATTTTTTGTAGCATGATATATGTCAAAATCTAAGACACGAACCCCACTTCGTCAATTGATCTATCAGGAGACTACCCACACTTCAAAGTATTGTTGAAATGAAGACGTCATGGAGGTTGGGACTGCGTCTTCAGGGATGCGGTCAATGCAAGTCGTCTTATTTTCCGCTACCGTCATGCTTTACGTACATGTACTTGTACTGAGCCGTTTTTCCCGTAAAATAGCCTATAATAGTAACCTCTATTTCTCTGAGTACATAAACACGCCGATCCCAGTGTAATGGCATAGCACAGACTTGTTTCAGGTCAACAATATACAATTTCTACCTTCAAGCATAATATAAAATACACGGAGCATTTAAAAATAGCAACAAAGCAGCTAGTACATATTGCTCACTAGTCCAAACCTGTTTTGAATTGAGCTTTAAGTTTCAATATCAATTTAAGGGGAAGAAGAACTTGTAACTTGTCTAGGGCTAAAATCTCTGGAAGTAGGCATGTGATCAGGTCTCTGATAGAATTACGGTCGACCGTCATCCATTTACATGTAGGGTGGTATTTACATTCGTTCTGTGTTTCTCTATAGACCTAACCGCAACACAACCTGCATAGAAATTTGATGCCGTATATCACTGATAACAAATCTTAAAAGCAGACGAAATAATCACGGAGCTACCTCCATGAAATAATTCAGTAACTAAAACATCAAATTACTGTGTTTTCTGAGTTCAGGATTACGGGCATTTGTCATAAAGATAAGAACGAACATGGCCTTGTACCGGTACTGATGAAGATAAGCATGCTTTAAAAATTACTTCATGACAAGAACGAGATAGTCCAAACATTTCTTGAAATCTAACACGAATTGAGAAATAACATAATAGTAACCACACAACACACTACTTTTAGCCTACCACATAGACACAAAGCAGCAGACATACAAACTTGTCACATTCATTTACATGCAACACTGCCACTTTCAAGGTTTCCTTTGGTAAGTCCAAGATTTCTCCTCGGTCGAAATGAGTTTGAAACTTTCGTAGCGTAACATTTACCAGTGACGCTTCCTATTCATTTATCACTATTCCGACATATACATGCTCCCCGTATCATAGAAATGACATAATGACACTCTGTTCTCATCATCAACCCTACATCCTTCGCTCTATCCTGGTCTGTCGACCGCCGACTATCCCCAAACCACAGTAGTAAGAAACGAATCGAAATGAACTACGGAAGAAAAGGCGCGTTGACGACCCAGCCACCCCAATCATGATGACTGTAACCAGTGCGCAGTGTACGCTATGCGATCTCGGCGCGGAACGGTATTATGAGGGGAAAACAATCTCAATGGAAACAATCACTTGTGCTCGTGTAAATAAAATCAAAAAACGGGAAAAGGACACTACTAGTGTTTAGAATGAAACTTCATATCACCGAGGAAGAGTAAGGCATACACTTCATCCGTCAGACGTGTTTTATTCACATTACTTGATATCAATATTTGTGCCAGTCCCAACTAGTATATTGTTACCCTGATGCACTATGCAGTAACAAACACTCCCGGTGACAAAGAATATCACTGGTTAAGTCTTCAAATTTTACCCGAGGAGCCATATTTTTACATTCAACATATTCCGACAAGGCTATTACAAAAAGTCCCAGATTCCCGCTTCAGGATTACAGTATCCCGCTTGTACATTAATAATGCAGAATTCCATTACGGGAGATAAACAGTCGCTTTGCGTATTTATAGACTTTGACGATAGTGACTATCATTACTAGCAGGACAATAACCTCACTCTCAATCGGATAGACGAATCTTTACTGAAACCTAATGATCATATGTCTTGAACATAAAAATCGATCCTGAACTCTGATGTTGAAATAAAAACCAAGGATTGATTTTGATGGAGTAATCGAGATTCGGCACTCGCTGGTTGCTCAAAAGGAGGTCTTCAATCTGCAGACTCTTCTCCCTCTGACATTGTTTGAAGACACACTACCAAAATTTGGTGCAAACGTATTCAAAATGCATTTTTCAATCCATTAAGTTGTTCACTGCAATTTCTATTTTAAATCTTAAAGAAATATAAAATGAAATCAAAACCTTGAAAGGTTGAGGAGAGAAATCCTGCAAGTTTTCCAACAGAAAACGTGACTGACACTGTCAGTGACAGGGGCTATATTCACAGCATGTACAAGGCATCTTCACCAGGGTTTAAGACCCGCTTTCACTTCTGGACCCTACGCGCGGTGCAACAGAATTGGATTGCCTCGGAGCAATTTTAAAAGATGTATGGTCATTCCAATGATTCAAACCACGATGGAATTTCCGGTTTTTCATAAAATTCCGCGACGGAACAAAGATTCTGCTTACGTAGCTGTTCAACTTCATTTCAATACGTTTTTGCTTTTCTCTTGCTTTTGATCTGTGAAGTTTGCATTTAGTGATGGACATTATGTTAGGCTGGCAATTTCTCAAGTAATCCAAAGCATGGTTAACATATCTGCTAACATAATGTGTAACGGAGCTACAGCGACGTGCATGGATCTGGGGTGGCAGAACATGCAACATCATCGTGAAAAACTCGCCTTCAACTCGTTTTTAAAAGCAGCCTGCTTCTGTCTGAGTAGATTTCATAAAAGATCATAGAAAAAGTCGCACTATTGTTTCAATTGCTTTACTTGCATTGGATGCACATACATTAATTTTAAGAAGCTACGTGTTTTATTTAGAACCGATTACGATTATAGACAAATACTAGGTGCTACAAAATAAAGATGTATCCAGTTCATTGCTTTTTTGAATAGTAAAGCTATTGATTTTTCTTCATGCCCAAAGGAACAGTTAGAAAATATTTTTTTTCGGCTAAAAGTTGAGACCCTTTTCACCCGCGATTGCTGACAACTAAATAAACTGAACACCATGCTCAATGCCCAAATATCTGTTATCTTAATGGTTATGGTTGCGTATCTTTGGTGAATTTTCATTCAGCACATGTTTAGCAGGTTTTTGAACTCAAATCACAGACCTAAAGAAAACACTGCATAGAATCATTTGTCAAAATAAACAAAAAATCTTACCATTCCTTATCTGTTAATAAACTGAAGTTTAAAAATGAAATTGTACTTGAAGCTTTATACTTCTATCCATCGTTTTCGACATAATCTGTTTTGTGGTCAGATACTTCAATTGGCCGGAACGCTAACGTGAGGAGTTCCAAGACGCAAGTATGTAATCTTACCATCACGCTGTAGAAATAATCCACGTAACTATATCCTCCCTGTGATGCCCAATGCAATATCCTTGGCTGGAATTACCGCCAAAATATAGAAGCCAGAATACGTTATAACTCCAGCTTACTGCTTCCCATTTAAATCTTGTAGTTTGTTCTACGCCAAATTATTTATGACTACAGCCAGAATGTGTTTACATGACACATTTTGTATGACTTATTTCCGAGAAACTGCAATGAAGAACGCAGCTTTATATTTGAACCATTATGTCCTGGTTATAAGAATATAAAGAAAGGATTTTAGGAAAACAGCCCAATCATTTCAACAGCACAGAATACAGATTTCAGATTATCACATTTTTGTATGCAAGGAAGGCAAACTATTACAAAAAAGTAACACTAATACAGGCATCTTTGGGTTATGTGACCCTTTCCAAAACAAACTGTTACAGGAATAATTATTCTCTAGCAATTAGTGGTAATGCTATTTGAAACCCCAAAGATGGCAATCTTTGTTATCAAGGTTTTTGGAGCACTGCAATGTAGGCGTGGTCATTTGGTTCACTATGCATAATTGAGCAACTTTGAGTGATACTCACTCTGCATCTGCAATCTGCATCTCATCACTGTCCAATCATTACCAAATCCACCCATTTCTTCAAAACAAATTAAAAAACCCAAGCGATTATGCAAACAACTTCTATTTACCTCTGTGTAGCATGTCAATAATGGGTGGAATTTCAGTGAGAAGACATGATGGGAAGGTGTTCTACTCCAACAGGTGCATGTGTGTTAATGCAGGAATTGGTGCCCCTGTTGGTATCCCAGGGAATGGGCCAGATGAACCAGCGATATCCAGATGAGAATATTTCAGGGGTGTTTTGGAGTCCACACCATGCTGCACAAGAAAACAAGGTCACAAGTTAACACCAAATAACAGACTAAATGACGTCATCGCTTTCCCGTCTCATACAAAATAAATGAAGATAAATGACAAAACATGGACTTCTTAGAAATCTCTCACTAACGCATTCAACGTTCATTAATAAATAAATGCCAAGTGATGCCTGTTGTTTCCTCTTGAGGCTATTCCAATCTCCATTAAGCATTATCTTCTAGCCTGATGCATACAAGTAGGTCAGGTAGCTATTACTCTCTTGTTGATCCAAACAAACAAGAATATCTTCTCAGCGAATCTCAAAGCCCACTAAGTCGCTGAGAGGAAACGTTGAAAGGCAGAAAACCTATAAACAAACTACTCATGGTGAACTCAGTGCTGTTATAAATGATGCCATCCAGTTTCAACAAAACTGACAAATGAGAGCATTTCTCAATCAAGCAGATGAAGATATTCAGCTTCTCATAGCCCGAGTTAGTTTTCAGTAACACTCGACTATTTCGTATCTACTACATTGCTCAGTGTTTCAAGTGTTATCTAGGCATATACATTTACATACATGCAGAATGTTGGAATGGATTGATCCCCTTACCCCAGCTGTTCAACCTGCCTAATAAACTATACATCAATGATCATTCCAGTGTATATTTATGATAGTGAGCTTCAAACACAGTGGTGTCCTTAAGTGAAATCTGGAGACTTCTAAGGTAGATGATGCTCATGAATGTGCAATTAGAAGATGTGTACAATAAGGACATGTGGGAATCCAGGCAGCATTTCTATGTGAATGTCAATGATTACATGGCCACAGTTAACGACTCTAGTAGAGTCAAAGTAGGACAGGCTGGTAAACTGATAGCTTCCGACACCATCAGAAACTTCTCAGAATAGTCTGATGTTTTGCAGCAAGATGCGGTAGGTATAATTATGGCTTTTTATTGAATGACTTCATCCCTTGTGAGAATTTCAGTGGGTGTGTAAATATTCCAAAAGTCACACATTCAAAGCCCACTCCTGTCCATTTCCCCTTCTGCTCCAAATTTCATAATTCAGGTTGAAGATATTATTTATTGGAATATGTATTTGAGTAAAACTAACTTATGACTGAAAACCCTTTCTCAATACAACATGGAGTATTCTTGCCTCAGTGTAACCAAACTGACAATCTGAAATGAAAGTTACACTCCTACGTTTCAGCCGACATTTCTCCAGTAGTGCAAATCAATTTTCAATCCTGGGCACTCAAAGCAAATGAGTACAATGGTCATAAAACTTGCCACCAATATTGTAGAAAACTCTAGCAGAGCAGGGTTTCAGTATAAATGAAAGTTTGTCCATACATCTCGGTGTTGGTGTTTATTCATGGATGTGCTTGTCCTATTTCCAATTCCAACACCTTGGCCGTTCTACTGGGAAACACTGCAATACATTTAGAATGCCATCAACACAGAACCTTACTTGAATTCCCAGGTAATCAAATTATAACAGACTGCAAGCATGCCCCTGCATATGCTGAAAACTCTTTGGAACTGCTCTTTCGAGAAAGCTGTAAAAGGACTGGGATTTCAAAATTTGATAAGGATCTTATACATCTAGTTATTTAAACAACCTCATGAGGGTCATGTGTCGGACATATTGACCAGTGTCATTACTGCAAGGAAACAATAGCTACATGTACTTACTGTCAGGCTCATTTTAAAGTTGTTTGCAGGAACCTTCCTTTAATCTTTTCTTACTTCTCATCTGCTCCTTGATGAACATCAATTTTTTATTTAACCTTGTTTGCCTCACTATTTATATCAAATGCCGGCTATAATGGACTTATTACAAGCAACTACAAGTGCGTCAGAATTCACAAATCTCCATGAATAAACAGCTTAGTTGCCTGGAAGAAGAGGCCAGACTGTGTGGGTGGAAAGTAAGAAGTCATGCATGAGAATGCAGGTTGTGATCAGAATCAAGGGGACACTGAGCCAAAGGAACTGATCAATCTCGGGTTATGCCAGGCGGATATTAAAAAACCTTGAGGGTCACCTTGGGGGTTTAGCTGAGTATCAACTTCATGTGACCATTAGACAACAACAGGTGTAAATCTGTGAGTGTGCTTCTATCGTTGATTCTGTTTAATTAAATATATATAAGAAGCTCAACTAAGTAACAAATGGTGTGCCATATATTGTCTTTACTCTTACCTCTTCAAATACAAAAATCTATCATAAAACAACAGAAATACTGTAACTACTGAAGCACATAATTTTCAAACTTTGCTACCAGTACCTTCCTATTTGCCAGCTTCTAATCTGCCATAGCTGGCTTTTGTCCGTCAATTTGTATGCATGCCTTTGCTTTGTGCCGACATATAAGTTGATTGCCAGTATGTTTGGTATCAAAATATCCTTTCCATAATGTCAAATGTTGTAAGCCAATAATTATACTGTACTGGTTAAATGTAGCACAATCTCATACCTTAATGTGATTTAAATGTTATTCCTGTCCCCATCGTCCATGTCTGAGAGTTGTTTCTAATTCTGATGTTCAGCTGATGACTACATACCATTCTAAACAACAAATTTCCTTGCTTTGGGCGAAATCACACTGCCACTTACACTATTCACCATGCATGAATTTATTTCACCCTAGGCCCTGGTGCATGTGTCCTTTTTACTGATTTGTACAGGCATCTACAAGTACACCATTTTGCAGTCTCCTGCCTTCATAATCTTCATGGATTCTCATCCCCTAGTATTCAAGAGGTGAACAATCTTTGTCTGTATTTACAACCCATATTCTTCCACCCCCAGGACCTACCTGAATATCAAATTACCACATTTTTATAAGGACTCTCTCTTTTCTGCTTGTTCCAAAGAAATGCTCAATGCCTTTTCCAAGTCAATGTACAGGAGGCATAATAAATTGAAGCAGACATTTTGTCCTCCATGATGTCACTATCTACTGAGATAATAACAGACGAGTGGATGGGTTTAGCGTAGAACAACATCCCAACATGTATATCAGGTCCCACAGGCATTTTTTTCCTGCAATACATCATGTTCATACTGCATTTAGTCTTTATGACATTTGCAGAGAGGTGCCAGAGACATCTATCAACATTTAATTTATCAAACAATGAATAAACCGGCAATGCTACAGAGATTGATAAACATTGTAGCTTCACTTTACATTAGTTTTACAACTTGACAGTGACCAGCCCGTTAGCTGATGAATTATGAAATGAATAAAACATCACTTCAACTCTTTAATTCATCATTTATGGATGGTTGGTTTGGCTTCTGAAAATGCCACCATTTCATAGGAAATCTTTCATATATGAAATAAAGAAATATTTGGTAAATTTCCTCTTGGACAGCTCACACCTGTGTTCTCATAGGTATGAATCTTGCCTTTTCAATGGGAAAACTTGTCTACATTACAAATATCTTAAGCACATGAAATGACCTTATATTGTGCTTTTCAAAGAGTCCATCTAAAATGAATTGAATTTCCTTAAAACTACCTTCACATTTTCGCAAATGACTGATTCCTCCAGACTAAATACTCAAAATAAAACTAACCACGTTTGTTTTGCTAGTCAGAAAAACCTGCTGCCAAACCTCTACAGCTCAACCTGTACAGAATCTACGAGGTGCATTGAGTACAAGAATCTATATAGATCTAGCTTTCAGCACTTTGCGCACTGGCACAGCAGTAAAATTGCCAATTGAATTAAGTGTCGCTCCTCGTGACTATTCTTTGAGATAGAGGTTTCCATTCTGTGACAGGAGACACCTTTTTGTTCCCAAGGATGAAAACATTAGCATAATATCAACAAACTGATACACAGAGCTATTGACACAACTCACATTGCTTAAGGCCTGCAAAAATTCAATTTATTTATTTTGGTATATTTAGAGCTGTATTTTCTATACTTCTATTCTGATATTGACAAAATATACAGGTATTTGTGCCAATGAAGTACAACAGTTTTGCCTCAGGTATTTTACAATAAGCTAAGGATGCCATTTAGGAAGGAGGAAAATTCTTCAAGAGTGATAAATGCCAACAACTTCAAATAAAGCATTTCATGCATAAATGGCATGTTTTCAAACCTGATGTTACTTTAATCTTCCACTTTTTTCTACAGCAAAATTCTACAACACTCTCAAAATTCATTTTTATTCTATTTGAAGTATAAACTGTTCAAACAGCATAAAGATCAAGCGTAATGTGCAAAGTGTCTGTGTTAGCTTCAGACCCATCACAGTGCAGCTCTTAGTACTGGTCTTTCTTAGCTTCAGACCTATCACAGTGCAGCTCTTAGTACTGGTCTTTCTTGGCTTCAAACCCATCACATTGCAGCTCTTAGTACTGGTCTTTCTTGGCTTCAAACCCATCACATTGCAGCTCTTAGTACTGGTCTTTCTTGGC